AAACACGATCTTGTGGTCATTGCTTCAGATACCAGACCTTGAGGCTACAATATTAAAGGAGAAGATGAGAGCTGGGAATTGGCACTGGTGCTGGGTTTTATGTGAATGCCACCAAAGATCCTTGGAAGACTAATAACAGAATGTACTCTTAAGTAACAGAGGAGCTTCCCCAACTCATAGATGACAACTTTCCAGTGGATCCTCAAAGGATGTCTATTTTTGGTTACTCTATGGGAGGGCATGGAACTCTGATTTGTGCTTTGAAAAATCCTGGAAAATACACGTCTGTGTCAGCATTTGCTCCAATTTGCAACCCAGTGCTCTGTCCTTGGGGCAAAAAAGCCTTTAGCGGTTATTTGGGAACAGGTCAAAATAAATGGAAGGCATGTGATGCGACCCATTTTGTGAAGTTCTATCCAGATTCTCAGCTGGGCATACTAATTGATCAAGGGAAAGATGACTGGTTTCTTCTAGATGGATAGCTATTCCCTAAACATTTCTGCCTATGCAGAAAAGAAAATCCCTATTGTTTTTAAATTACAGGAGGGTTATGATCATAGCTACCACTTCATTGCAACCTTTGTTGCTGATCACATCAGACATCATGCAAAATACCTGACTGCATGAAAAACTTCTAATAAGGGAGTCTCTTCAAGATTATAAAAATTAGAATTGCTAAGGGAAAATATTTCAAAACATTGGATTTCATAACTCTAAAGGAACTTCATTGAACGATTGAATCACCTAAATAAATATATATATTTTTAAAAAAGACATAGACTGGCAAATTGGATTTGAAAACATGACACAACAATATGCTATCTCCAAGAGACTCACCTCATAGGCAAAGACATCCACAAACTGAAGGTAAAGGATGAGGGAAAAAACCTATCTTTCATAAGGATCTCGTAAACAAGCAAGAGTTTCTACCCTCATATCAGATAAAGTGGACTTCAAGTGAAAGTTAATCAAAAGGGACAAAGAAGGACACTTTTTAAGGGAACAATATATCAACAAGACATGACAATTGTAAATATTTATGCCTCAAACCATGAGGCATCTATGTACATCAAACCCTTCTCAGTTTTAAGAATCAAATAGATCACAACACAAAAATATCGGGTAATTTTGACATGCCTCTGTCACCACTGGATAGACCCTCCAAACAAAAACTAATTAAGGAAGCTATAGAACTAAAAAATACAATGGATAATTTAGATAATTTAGACTTTATAGACATATATAGAATATTTCATCCATCAACGACTGAATACCTTACTTCTCAGCAGCACACGGGTCCTTCTTTAATATAGACTATGTTATGTAAGTTATCTCGTATGTTAGCATGCAATTGTAGTACTTTAATATATTTTTATTGTCAGTAGGGTTATTTTGATAGCTCCCTTTCCACTGATATTTTTGTGATCTTTCTTTTTCTTGATTAGACTTCTTTCATTTTTATCAATTTTTAGCTGTATTATTTCTTCTTTATTTCATACATTTCTATTTCTACTCTTAGTTTTTCCTTCCTACTACCTAATTAGAAAATAATGTGATTGTTAATCTAGCTTCTTTCTGATACAGGTACTTTTAAGTTATAAATGTTCATCTGAGTATGTTTCATCCCAGAGATTCTGATATTTTAAGCTTTTATTATCACTTAGTTCAAAGCACTTTTTATTTACTTTTCTTGTGCTTTCTTCCTTCACCTGTGTTTATAAATGTGAATTTAATTTTGAAGTAGTTCATATGTAGGGGAAGGGTTCTAT